GATGCAGCATTAATAGCAAGTTGGATTGATGAGAAAAATGGAGTACCTTATCGTTTTAAAGATATGCCTTATAAATTTGAACTTATTTATCGAGCAAGCAGTGAAGATTTTAGCATTGGCAAGTTTCATTATTGTTGTGATGGTAAAGAACCAACTGTTGTTATAATTAAAGTTCGAAATTCAAACGAAATAATTGGTGGATATAATCCATTAGATTGGTGCGACAGGTACTACAGGTACAACGACGACAATTATACACAAAACAAGAGAGATATGGATTTATTTGGTGATACATTTGATGGTACATTTAATGATACATTTGATGATACATTTGATGAATATGATGGTTGTAAGTTCAAAGAAACATCAAAGAGTTTTATATTTTCATTATCTAATGGAACAATTCCCAAATTAAGTCGTGTCTCTTGTAAAAAAAAAGCAATCGCTTTGAGTAATGCCAAAGGACCATGTTTTGGTTTCCGTGACTTGTGGGTAGAATATAGTAGTAGTGGTAGTTCACGAAGATCAATTGTTGGTACAAGTAGTCAATATTGTTACGAAAGAAGAGTTACTGATAAGCACTCTTTTGAAATAGAAGAATATGAAGTATTTCGAATTAAAAAGTTATCTATATTATCAGGATTTGTCATGTCAATGTTCAAGAAAATAAATGGATTTATAAAAAATAATGAAGAAGTACAATAGGAATGGGCTCATGCACAGGCTGTGGCGCAATAAAAGGCTGTGCAGGCTGTGGCGGGTTAGAGTATTGTGGCGCATTAAAACTCTGTGCAACCTGTGGTACAATAAAACGTTGTACAACCTGTGCCTGTATAATTTGTAAAGGACGTCCCAAGTAATCTATAATCTATAAATAACTAAAATTTTTAGGAAATCTTAATATATTACTAAAAATGGATGGGATCTGCAAAATTTGGTCTAAAATAGAAAAAATCTGCAAAAATAGTCAAAATACGCAAACTAAAAATGTAACCTATCTATGAATAGCTCAGGGTCCTGATGGGTTCATGTGCAGGCTACATCCTGTGGCACACTAAAACGTTATGTATCCTGTGCCTGCGTAATTTGCAAATATAGATTAGATAATGTCGAACTAGGAGCATTAAGGAATTTAAAGAACAAAGGTTATGCAAGGTCGGGACAAAAATTTGAATAAATTTTTGAGATTTTAAAAGTCAGAAATATTATAAAATGTAGGATGTTTTGCGTCATTTTTCAATTTATATCAATTATTAATTAGCATGTACAGCATAATTTGTAAATTAAAAATAACATCGTCTTAAAATCGGTACGCATTTATTGACTAATAAAAAATTTTAATACGTAGCGTCTCTATACATTTAGTGCTTCTAATAATCAATTAATATAAGATTTATTAAACTGAAATTTAATTTCTTTAATATTAGGGTAAGGATAAAGATTAGAGATTAGTGTAAAGCATAGCTATGGTAAAATTTATCAAGAAATATTTTTGCTTAGTACCATGAAGGTGATTTCATGGTCAAAATTTTGAGATATAAAACAGATAAGTTTCTGCTAGTAGGCGTTAGCTACAGGTAGTGATAAGTATTAGTCGCATTATTAGATCTAATAATACGATTTGAAACTTAACTTATCAGTAACTGCTGGCATTGCCTTTGCATATTATTAGCTAATGGGAACTATTGGTATCAACCAGTAAATACCAGTGATAGATACCTGCCAGTAGCTACTAACTCACATCACTAGATGCAAATACAAATGCACTATATAGCAATGTCATTCTAAAAAAATAAAAACTATATACTAAAATTTTTATGTATACAATTTTACTTTTAATGAGGAAAAAATCCCAATGCATTCTTATTTACTAGTAATAAACAACGACATTTTATAGGGCTGGAGCTTTATGTATTAGGTACTGAATTTAAAAAGAAAATTATTAGTTAGTGCTGAACTTATTATCAAATTAATTTATGATAAGAATTTAGAATAATAGAATGTGTCATAGTGCAAACATTTATGATCATAAATTGTTTATTATTTTGTACATTATTACGTGAGTGCAACAATCCCAAATTAAAAATTCAGTTGGCTAATTATGACGTGCAATAATACAAAAATAAAAATTTTTCATATACTGGGTGTTCGAAAAGTTCCTATACACAATCACTACTTTTTAAGTATGATAACATATATTGAGATCATAATGATTTGAATATTTGCATAAATAATTGTGTTATATTAAAATGAAATCGGATGAAATGAAATTTTGCATAGTGTATAATAGACAAACCACTGAAAAATACAAAATTTTGGGGAGCATTTTTTTTTTAAGGTTCGGGCCCAGCTTTAGGGATAGAATTTATTGTAAACAAAGTATAAGTAGGTTTTAGGCAGCTAAATAGGAACTCCAAATTTCATTTTAATCCGATTTTATTATGATCCACCAAAATCATTATATTCATTATATAAATTTCAATTTCAAATGGAAATTTTAATATTTAAATTTACCTTTTATAATTCAAACTAAAAAAATTTTTGTCCATAGCCATAGTTAGTATAGTATATAACCTAAAATATATTTTTTCGCGCAAGAGGAATTTACGCATTTCTCCGAAGAATCACTCACAAAGTACATTCTTAAATATATTTATGTAAAATTTTTATGAAAGTTATATAGAATTTTTATTGAATTTTATAAAAACTTCATAACCCATCTATAGGATTAGATTTTGAAGTTTAAATTAGGAGTTTGGGAAAGGTTTTCGAATAGGCTGAACATTTTACTTAGTACATCGATCGGTGATTACCTTAGTCACTTTCAAGAAATGGCTAAATTATTTTTATGTAGATATAAATAGCATTTGTATAAATTTTATATTTATATAAATATTAAATTATATATAAAAGTTCTAACTATATGAGTTTACATTGGATTTATAAATCTATATGTATAACATTTATATAATTTTATAAAATTAGATAAAAATTATACTTTGTGATGCACAACAGAATCCTTCATAGCAAGTTACTGTAGAATCACAACATTGCATGTCTTCACATGTTTGATCAGAAAAACAAAATTCCTATACGACCACTGTATTTATCTGACGCACAACAATCAGAACCATAGCATTTTTCATTAGGAAGGTATAATGAAGTATCACATGTATTTCTTTTAAACGAGGAAATTAAACTACAACTGACGTAATTAGTGTCTTTTTTCCATTTAAAGTTACTGAAAGCGGTAATAAAATTGTTGATAATTACGATTGTAAAATAAAAGGTTTTCATGGTATTATATGGAATCAGTGCTTTTCGTTTGACTGAACGTGTGTTTATTTTAATCCAGTTAATAGATTTGAACATTTTAAAATATATTCCAGGCTACACGTACTCGAATTTGCTACTAATTAATTTTATTATTGGTGTGGCTTATGCAAAATTTGTTCCCAACCTATGAATTACAGTAAGTTACTGACTTGAGATTTTTTTTATTATGCGTGCCCAAAGACTAAAATTTGATTATTCATAATTTTGTCTGAACAAAAACCTTTTTAGTAAATCAGAAAGTTTCGAGTTTCAAATTGGTTTATCTATTTTTACCGGTGATATAAACTTTAAAAATAAAATGACCAACCAATAGTTCAAATTTTGATTATTCCGGATCAACTTAAAATCAATCATGTAAAAAAGAAGAAACATAGAAAAAGTGAAAATACTTGAAAACTAATGGTTAAATTGATCTTGGTGAACTAATTAAAAATGTCGGGTGCAAAAGTTTACATTCAAGAATCGATAAATTGTTCTTATATCTCCCAATGTTAATGCTCTAACCTTAAATTTCTATACTCGAATGCTTGTTTGATTGTTATGCCTAGTTTCTTTTTGGGTATTACCAGCGCAGCTGTATTTCGATCTCATAGGAAAAGACTATCTGATTGGCTAATGTAAAGCATTTGTCGGGTAGCTTATGTTTAAATACCTCTTTATTCGACATTTACTAATAAAACATTATTACAGACATCAATTACAGCTGTAGAAGAGTGCAATCTCAAATCTGACATAATTCGCTTAGAAACAAAAGGAAGAATATATTGCCATTCGTTGACCCATACAAATTGTACAGTAGATCAGTGAAACTATAGGTGAACATTTAAATTATTATATGCGAACTTAACCATAGGAAATGAAATATTACATATTAAACCGCATATACACTCAGTATTCGGGTCATTTCTACACATGTGCCACTCATAGTTATAGTTTCATTTTGATTTACTTAATAACACTGATTATATATGTGATTTGATACACTCTCCTGGGTTAAGTTCACCATAGTTATAACTTAATACAGTAATATTCACTTACAAATTTTCCCTTAGAAACACATATTTATTATCTTAATTATTTCGTACTAATAAATAATTTTGATTTATATAATTTTTTACGTCTCGTCTCGTCCTTACTTTTCTCAGCCTCATTGTATAATTTGATCAATTTTGATCAATAATACGATTCTACTCTGTATGTGTACGAGCGAAAATTTCTTTTCCTTTAATACCCAATTGATCAAGATAAAGCATAGTTATATAGACGATAAAAGAGTCTCGTAAATAATTAAAGCTCAAACGATCTCTGATGAAATTGCAACATATAACAATTTAAATAAATACGGTAATGGAAATACTGTATTTATTTATATCGTTATGAAATAAAAAAAGGCTCCTGTATCTAATTTTTTTGGTTTATGTAAAAAAAATTGCAATCTAATTTTATAAAAAACGCCCGGTACCATTACACTTCTATGTTATATTACCAACCATAAAAAACTCTGGGAATTGTTAATTCTTAAAGTTTAAATTTCCTCAAAAAGTTTATTTGAAAGGTAATCTTACTGCAATTAACATGGAAGATATAATTCTTGTAACTGGTAAATTTCGAGTCATTGAATACAAATGAAAAGATGAGAACTTCTTGGTCCTAAAAGTAAATTTAAGAAGTCTCTAAATGAATAATATTTTTTAAAAAA